ACACACACACACACACACACACACACACACACACGCACACACGCACACACACACACACACACACACACACAAATACATGTGCATATTATACAAATCCTAATACTATTATTTATCCATCAGGCACAATATATTACTACATGTTCTTCTTTTGATGTACCTTTTTGCTAAATACACCCAGTAAATCATTCATTAAGTCAACTAGCAAAATAATGGAGTTGCTAAATAAACTAGAATCTACAGCTGACTTCAAAATGTATCTATTTATTTATTTTATTTGGATTTATGGTTTTCAATAAGATAAAACAAACCAAAAAATTAATTAAAAAAATAATCATTTCTTAATAAAAATCTCAGTGAATCAGCTTTGTCAGTAGTGCTGATCAAATCACAATAATTTAGAGCCTGCATTTTATTAATTAATTTATTTATTTATTAAAATATTGTGAATTTATGCAAGTACATTTAAATTAATAATATCACCAACTACATCATATCGGGGCACCCCTGATTTGGCATTGTACAATTTCTAATGTAAAACATTGCGATGGATGATGGCATCGTCGTCGTAGGCAGCGATAAATTACTTATTTATGAATAATTCATTCATAACGAATTAATTATTTGTGGCCTACTGTTTCAACTACCTGACCTGCATGGTTTTTGTTTTACCCTTAACCAAATCCTAAATAAAAAAACATAAGTTACACACAAATTACCACCTGTCAACCATTTTTTTCCGCTGCAGTCTGGCAGGAATAGGAAGAGTGATCTGTGTCATAATAATGGCATCGACAAACTTGGTTGGTAAAAAAGCTGCACAACCAACAGCAACCAACCAACAGTATCTGAAGTTTTTACTAAAATTACTAAGTACAAGCGTGAAAGCGAAAGACTAATGCAGTGTACTGACGCTGTGACAGGTGACCTGACAGATTCAAAAGACTGAAGAGTCGTTAGACAGAGACAAGATGAATTAAATATCATGTTTAACAACTACACTGAGACGCGATCCAGCGGTACATCCTTAATATATTGTCTAACATGCACTGCTCTTTGGGCTGACTGCTGGAGCTCATATGCTGCAACGCACAACAGAGTGTTTGTGTGTGTGTGTGGTCACGTGAAGTGAGTTTTCAGCAGTATATTGTGGAAGGGGGCTTTTTTAGAAATGCTAGGTGAAATGCCAGTGTGGACGTGGATCATTTTGTTCTAAAATGCTATTTCAAAACTAAGACGTATTAGTGTAAAGGGGGCATAAGGAATATTTTTTGCGAGTGGGTTGCTGTTGCGATGGGGGCGGGGGGAATGGACGACCCAACCCTAATCTAAATTACCAAAAAACATCTCAAAATGCATGGCTTGGATGCAAAAACTAAAACCTAATCCTCCTTTTATAAAACAGAAGTACCTTTTGAAAGCAATATGTGAACAAAACTGACAGTGTAAGGTCATATTGATGATTGTGAAAATTCACAGAAAGTAAGGACCATGGGAATACTACAAAGACGTCAAAAGATATATTGCCATATTTTTTCTGTGATATTGGCTCAACCAATACCAAATGTTGTGGGCATGGATTTCTGTTTGCCTGACCAATGACAGAACAGAAAGGAGGGTTCCAGTATTTTTTAAACTTCATTTCAAAAGTTCACACTTAGCTGATGATTGATTATAAAGCTTATTTGGCATGCTCTCCCGGGAGAGAGCCCTGAGCTCATAAGATCCTCGAGCCCGGGGCTCCCTCCTGTTGCAAGGCGAGAGGGGAGTTTGAGTTCAGGTAGATCTCGAGAACTCCCTTGTCATGGTGTCTGAAAAGCAGATAGTAGTTGCTCTTTAAAGAGATAAGTACTTGGTAGGAGCATGTCTTATGCTGCGTTCACACCGGATGCGTCACGCGCGTCAAGCGCGAGTGATTTACATGTTAAGTCAATGCAAACGCGCGAATAGACATGCTGCGTCGCGATACGCGCAAATGACGCGAATGGCGCGGTGCAAATAGCGTGATACGCGCAAGGCGAAATGAGCGTTTGACGCACTTAATGAGCGTTTCGCGCAAATCTCTCAAGTTCGAAAATCTAAACTTCAGCGGACATTCGCACCGCGTTAGCCAATCAGAAGCTTGCTCTTGTGGGGGCGTGATTGTGACGTAGAACCTGTTGATGGTGTCCCGGGGAAAATCCTCCAGGCGACACCGACAGCAAGTCATCAAACTCGGCTTGGCTCAGTCAGAGGCACCACTGAAAGTCTCTGTCATTCAGGTTCAGTTTCTGGAGGAGTTTATGAGCTCACAGAGCTGGATGCATCTCTGAAAGCATGCAGTGGACTCAGACAGGGCTGGCCCGTGGCATAGGCAGTATAGGCAAATGCTAATGGCGCTGTACATCCAGGGGGCGCCAGAAATGAGCGGGGGTAAGTTGGTTTTGTTTTCAATATTCCTGACACACATTCAGTGATAGATGGCAATAACTCAAAAACCTCTTACCCTAAAAAGATCTAAAGTGTGTTTCCTACAAAAAGACAAAGCTGGTTATGTTTCACAGCTGTCTTTTTTTTTTCGCTCAATATTACGAGCACTGCTCCTTTTAGCCTGGGATATGCGTTAAGCCGGGAGAGCTGAGCTCGCGCGGAATGGAGCTCTCCGTAAGGGACCATCGGAAAAGTGCTTCTTTTTTTTTTTTTTTTTGCTCTATTCTGCTTGTTTTATTTTAAACACAACTAATTTTCTCTTAAATGAGCACAACAGTTACTAAAGTAGTCGAATGCTTTATTCATTCATTCATTATAGATCTGTGCATTCTTACATTAACACCTCTGTTATCAAACAAAACACAATGAGAGATTCATTTGCTGCTCTTCACTAAATAGCAAATACAATTAAAAGTTAAATAGATTTTATAGCTTTATTTAATTTCTGTATAGGCCATTGATTTTAATAGGTTAAACCTTTTATTTTATTGTCAATATTTTCTATTGTTTGCTATGTATTCTATCATTTGAAGCTATTTGTTGTCCCATATTTTAACATCCCAACGTTGATAGATGACATAACATTGCTAATCATTATATAGCTATAGTGCTATCTGTTATAATGTTATGGAAGGGCACAGATGTTTTGGAAAATAGTAATATTAATGTAACTACCCCATCATTCCTTCCTTAAGCAAATGTGTAAATATTAGATCTATTCAGCAATAATGTTAATTGCATTGGCATATTTATCTGACATTTTCCTAGCTTGTAGTAGTCGATCAAAAAGCTGTTTAGTTTCTTTTGACTTCACACTAGCAGTGGAATTTACTGCGATGTGACAGGGCGCCACCTGAAATCTTGCCTAGGGCGCCAAATTGGTTAGGGCCGGGCCTGGACTCAGACAGGACCCTAAACGTATCGACGATGTTTTTCAGTCTCCATAAAGCACATTAACACTGTTATTTTCTTAATAAAATCCATGTTAGCCATTTAGCTATGAAGCTAGAGTCACCGGGCAGACAGAAGCCCTGCCCATCATGCGAATCCGCGTCTTTTCTGAAGTGAATTTGACACGCGATTGAAGCGGATTTGACGCGCAAATGAAGCAGGGGTTGACGCACGAATGAAGCGAGTAAACTCAAATGTTCATGCGGCTATTTACGCGCAAATATCGCAATTTATCCGCGTGTACCGCGTCTGGTGTGAACACAGCATAAGGTGTTGATTTGGGTTAGTCAATAAACTTATTTTGCATATTTTTGGACGGGTGAGGGAAACCAGGGGACCCGGAGGAAACCCATGTGAGCACAAGGAGAACGTACAAGCTCCACACAGAAACGTCAGGTGGTTTGGTAAAGAATGGAACCAAAGACGTTCTTGCTGTAAGGCAACAGTCCAACGCACAGGGGCCAAGGTGCAACCCATCTAGGAAGAAGGAAGAGTAGGGGTGGAAGGGGGGATTCTTCAAAACCAAGATAGCTGTGATATGTAACCTAGAGCATTTATAGTAGCTTAGGAATACTCTGATTGGTGCACTGTAAACTGGTTAATGCGGGTCCAGCCGCAAGCAATCATGAGCATGTGATCCTCTCGAAATTAGATCATGAATAATCTTCACTTACTACCTTAGTCTTATGTAGATATATTTTTTCACTACTGTTTTGAAAGTGAACCCCATGAAAGGAGTGAATACATTAAGGATGTATTTACATGTACTAAAAACTAAAATGTTCTTGCCTTGTGTGTTTTTTTAAACCAGTATACACTTTATATACACTTGGAGCAGCAAACATATAAAGTCCAGCATTGCTGTTTTAGTTGTCAAGACTGAACAAGAGCAAGTACAGTACTGCAAAGGGGCCCCGTGTGATAGGGGGTCCTCAAAAATTGAGGTTGTTCATTTCTGCAATGTTCTTGAAGGACAACTGATGATTGTTCAATTTGAACTAATGACCAATAAAACTAGATATAATCCCATTTGCTGTGCAGGACTATGCACATGCATGAGGTCACATTTTAAACAAATTCCTGTTTCTGTATAATGTATGTAAACTCTAATGTCATTTTCAAAAACATTCATCCAGACATCTAATGTTACATCAATAATCTGTCTCACCTGTTGACAGCTTGAATTTCTCTCATACTGCAGCATTTATCTGGCCACTGAACTGAAACAGAAAATGACTGTACTGAAAGATACACAACACATTAAAAACAGGTTTTTTGCCACTTTTATAATCTAAAAATAGAATTACTAAAAGTACATGCCTTCCTTTCATTTTCATTAGCAGATAAAGTTTAAATGGGCGCTCTCTTGGTCGTCGAGTCACGTTTTATTACTGTGCGTCGAGTAAAAAAAAATTTGGAAACTAGAAATTTCGAGCCTCTTCAATGTTGGTTCCAAACTGTGTAAAGTACTCTTGCTAACTCGTCGTCCGGGACTCTTTCAGTTCCTCTTTGGTTGTCGTGCAACAGCAACTGTAAACCCGCCTCAGTAAAACACTAACAGCTTCACTTCCACTTTATCAAACATTCTCTCCGTCTGCCTCCGCCTGCGAGCGCCTGACTCCCGCAACATCCAGCATGTCTCTCCCGCAACAGCTGCGCGACGAAAGGTGAGAGAAATTGTGTTTTCATTTATGGTTACTCATGAATAATATTCATATAGCGTTAGAGATCCCCGCTCTCCAGTGGAGTCATTCTGGGGAGTAAGTTAGCTAACGTTAGTGTTTACCTTTTAGCTGAACTTTAGCTAGCCTGCTCTATATTTATTAGGTTACTATTGCACTGTATTCCAGTATATACTATGGAACATCATCCAGAGTACTGTCAAGTGTACTAGAGTGATTACTAAACTAGATAAGGCTAGTTCACCTTTTTTTTTTTTTTTAAGTTTTTTCAGTGTTCAGTAGGCAAGTTAATTAGTTTCACAATGGTGATCATGAAATAAATAAGGACAATAATGTTTATTTTATTAGTTGTTTGTTTTTAACCCATGCCTGCTCTACCAAATGGTTGACCATATTTTGACTGTTTTAAATAATAAAAAAAACATCAACAACAAACAATTACACTTGATGTTGGTTTTATTGTAAAAAAACAAAAACAAAAAAAAAACAGCAGCAACAAAACATGTTAAATGAGAATCTGAAATATTTGATGGCATACTTCAAAAAAAAAAGTTTTGATATATATATATATATATATATATATATATATATTATTTTGATTATGCTTTTAATTAAATTGGTCTTACACTTATTATTATTATTATTATTATTATTATTATTATTATTACACAGATTTTCACATTTTTCATAGTGTATTAACTCTGGTTCTTTTACCATAAACCGACTTATCAACCATTTGGTTGGTTGATATTTTAGAAATTGTGTTATGTGTCGCCGCAATAGCCTGTGGTTGGCACACATATGGAGTTAAAATCCCGGCTCAAGGACATTTCCCAACCCTTCCACTTTACTTCCTGTCTAATTACTGTCTCATCTAATAAAGTCCAAAAAATAAAAATAAATGATGGGATGTGTTGGAAAAAATAATGCATTTAGTGTGTTACTAGCGCATTTGAAAACTATTTTCTTGGTGGGGCAGTTAAAGAGCTAATGAATACCTTTTCTTAAGGAAACTTCTAATGCAATACCCTTGAAACATACCACATCTTTGTTTTTTTTTGCCCTCCCCCAGTTTTTAAACAAAATAAAAGTTTTGATAATTTTTTGAAATATAATGTGTAAGTGTGGAGCATCTTTCAACATCTGCCAACAATAATGAATTATAGGTTTAAACTTTACCTCATTTCTCACAGTTTTGAACTGTGTTAAAAGCTTATGGCTGATACATTAAAATGTATCAGTTTTTCCATCTTACAATCAAAGTTTATGTATTTTATTAATGTTTTTTTAATAAATTTTTTTTTCATGAATGTAGACAACCTATAGGTTGAACAATTTGAGCAATCTTTTAGTTATATGTAACGGAGGCCAGCTAGTAAATGCTGTGCAGATAAACCTCACTCCTCTGACCTCTAAAGGTGCTCTGGCATTAGCTGCTAGAGGCCATGGTCTTTAGCTTCCTTGGTAGAGCAACCAACTCTGATGCGGAAGGTTGCTGGTTTGATATCAGCTTGGAGCAAATTGGGTGGTGTAGAACCCGGCGGGGTTACATATACATTACATTCACTTCCTTTCACTGGAGTTGATGGTGGTAATTCTCAGATTACAGAGAAGTTTCTTTCTGTGTTTCAGAAGTTTTGGTTTGGTTAATTTTTTACAATAAGATTGAATTATTATATAAAATAATAATTCTTTCGAGCCACCTTGAGGGCAACACGGCAGCTCAGTGGTTAGCACTGTCGCCTCACACCAAGACGGTCGTTGGTTGGAGTCCCAGGAGGGTCAGTTGGCATTTCTATATGGAATTCGCATATTCTCCCCGTGTTTACATGGGTTTCCTCCAGGTCCTCCGGTTTGCCCCACAGTCCAGAGACATGCGCTATAGGTGAATTGGAAGAACTAAATTAGCTGTAGTGATGAATGTTTGTGGATGCAGGAGTGTATTGGTGTTTCCCAGTAATGGGTTGCAGTTGGAAGAGCGTCCGCTATGTAAAACATATGCTGGATAAGCTTGCAGTTTATTCCGCTGTGATGACCCCTGATGAATAAAGGGACTAAGCTGAAGGAAAATTAATGAATTGGTCCAAATTGACTCGGAATATGAAAATAGTACATATTTTAAAGGTTAACAAAATTGCCATACAGATATTTACAATAACAACAATGATATAAAAAGTAGAAATTATAATAATTCTTCAACAAAAATGTAAACTATGTTACACACACAAACACACACATTTAATTTTAGTCCTGTTTGTAAGTATAACTCAAATCTTTTACTCAAAATTGTATTGAATAAAAGCATACTTGGAAAACATTTATTCTGTGGTAATAAAATTGTGTCATATTTGTTCATGCTACAGTGATTTTGACCAGCTTCCAGACAACATCCCAGTCACCGCAACTATTGCTGATATCGAGGAGAAGAAAGGTTTCATTGTTTACTTTGTGAGTTTCCCTAGACCTGAACCCCCTGCACTTCAGCTTTCCTCCAGTCTTTTCTTTAATAATCTTTTGGTCTTATAGTCTGACAGTTACCTGTGGCTTATGTTTAACCAAAAGCATACACCTAAAACAAGATGTTCAAAGATAATCATAAAATACTTATGTTAAGAACACACATTCTTGCATCATTTTTGTTATTTATTTATATTTGTGCCAGATTAATATCTTAAGCTGTTTTGTCAGTGAGTTTTTAACCTTCACAGCAAAATGTAAGTAAAAATTGTAAAAATCTAGATTTTTTGTCTTGTTTCTTAAAACACAGGAAAAAATGTTTTGTTTTCAGAATGAAAATGTATAATTAAACGTGTTTAACCTAAAAAAAAGCCTGAAAAATAAGTGTAATAATCTCATTTCAAACTAAAAACAATATTATTTTACTAAGGCCCTGTTTAAACTGCCAGATAAATGTGACCCAATTTAGATTTTTTGCTCATATGTGACAGATGGGAACTGTTCTATTCCTGTGTAAACAAGAAAAAAAAATGCATTGCATTCAGATATTCAGAGATTGGTTTCAGGCCTCCTTCATATGTGGAAATAAATCAGATATAAATCACATATATGACAATGCGACTATCATGTAAACAGGTAGATCGGATTTATTGAGGCATTCCGTTTTGCACGTCATTAAACTTGCGACAATGTGGTACTCTTCCCTGGTTTAATGACATAGAAGGAAGAGCATGTGTGGAGATGCCGACGCAGTAAACAACAAAAACAGAGAAAACATGGAGGAGGAACGTGGTCAGTGGTAAACTGTAGGCGCAAGCTGCGATGACAGCCCTTTCCCTCCTCATCCGCCTTAAAATCATTTTAAAGTTGGGCGAACTTCGCATATTTTGCAGAGCTAAAAGCAAGACAATTTCTTCCTGTGTGGCTAGTGTGACGCAGATGCTAGAACCCGTCTTTACGTATACACGACGTTGTAAATTGTATGGCAAGTGTAAGCACATGAATCAAACAGGTGTAAACAGACAAAAAAATCTAATATAGGCAACAAATCAGAAGTGGGCATTTAAAGCTAGATTTAAGACACATCTCTTTGCATTAGCATACACATAAAACACAAATGCTGTTAAAATTCAAATCCTGTCAAGGATTGTTGGTCTGCATTATTTAGGGCAACGGGAGCAGGGAACAGTTCCTAAAAGACATAGTTTGCGCTTATGTTAGTCTTTTTTTAATTAATCCAGAGGTTTCTATAATCCTGGATCAGGCCGTATCCTGAGCAGCTGCTGTGGTGGTCTTGGGGGAGTGGAGAGCATGAAATGGTCATGCACAACTGAGCCTGGTTTTACTCGAGATTTTTTAATTCTTCGCCAATTGTTGAAGTTTTTTCCTCGCTGCTGTCGCCACTGGACTGCTTGGTTCGGGACCTGTAGAGCTGCGCATCGATGGATTTGCTCTTCAGTGTTTAAACTGCCAGCAGTGAATATTAAACCACACAGAACTAAACCGAACTGAACCTCAACACTGAAAACTTGACTGACACCGTTTCAATTTACTATGGTATTCTATGTGAAGCTGCTTTGACACAGTCTGCATTGTAAAGCGCTATAGAAATAAAGATGAACTGAATTGGAAAAAAATAAAATCAAGACCTGACAGTGTTAACGTGACCTTAGTTACCCACTGGTAGATAATTTAACTTGTAATGTAATGTGTATTGATATAGTCTCTCCACACCACCACCATTGTGCAGCATCCACTTGGATGATGCCACAGCAGCCACAGGACAACAGCGCGAGTGTGCTCTCCACACACTTACTATAGGTGGAGTGGAGAGATAGTGATAGAGCCAATTAGGTGGATCGGGATGATTGGGAGGCCATGATGGTAAGGGCAAATGGAGGGAATTTGGCCGAGACACTGGGGTTACACCTTAACTCTCTAAGCAGCGCCATAGAATTTATAATGACCACAGAAAGTCAGGACTCCCATCCTGGTACTGACCAGGCTCAGCCCTGCATGCTTCAGTAACCGGTCTTAGGCTGCTTGGTGATATGTTTTGATGAAAAAAATTACTCGATTTTGACAACTTATTTCTGAAAACAAAACAATATTTTTTACTTTTGAAATGCTACTTGATTAAATTTTTACAAGATATCAGGACTAGAAACATGACAAAAACTCTTAAGTACATTGCAGTGTTCTCTCTCTACTACACACCAAAAAAATTGACTTGGTTATTGTTTATCACCTTCTTGCAGAGTTTCGTGATTGAGGTAAAGACCAAAGGCAACAGTAAATACTTAATCTACAGAAGGTATCGAGAGTTCTTTGCTCTGCACCAGAGTTTGGAGCTCAAGTACACAGCTGAAGCCCAGTCGGGATACTACAACTGCCAGCTACCAACCCTGCCAGGTCAGCTAATGCACAGACTCAAATAAATCACAGTGTTGTAGAAAAATCTAGATTCAGAAGCACAAGAAACATACAAACAGCAGCTAAATATGGCTGTCACGATTACCATAATGCATAATCCCATTCAGAGGAAGAGCCATAGACCAAATCTGAATTTAACTATTAATAAACTCAGGTACGGAAAATGAAAGATTTATTAAACATAAAAGTCTGCATAAAACGCACATTGCTGAGACTTTTGTTAATTTGACTATTTTAAATTTCATTTGGTTCCTTTTACAACATCGATGTTCTAATGTAATTCAAATATAGTCTGTTAAATAGACTTGAGCGCTCATTTAAAATGCTGGGGTAAAATTAATTTTCAGATATTAAAGCCATGGTGGGGAAAAGGGAATATAACTCACTGCTTCTTGCTTCAATCAGGCAGTGAAGATCATGGATTTTTAAAGAAAACTGACCTTAAATGCATTGATTTTGTAAAGGCATACGGTTCACCGGAAGCAATTGAACTGGGTTATTTAAAATTATAAGTCCTTTTGCATATACCATATTGAAATGGAAAATGAAGTTGGGGGCAAGGCTTTCTTTTTGCAAGTTATTCCCTCTTAGCAAACTAATGATAAAAGGGTCTTGGTTAAGAATAGATAGTGAAGCCATCAACTGAAGAACTGCCACTCCAAATGCTAAAGCAAATGGACTTTGATTAAAGATTACCAAAACAAACTGTTAACTTGCACAGATTAAGGACCAATCGCAATTCCTCTCCTTAGCCCTTCTCCTTAACCCTACCCCTCGTTTTGTGCGTTAACGTGAAGAGGTAGGGGTGTTCCAATTCTCTTTAGCTTGAAGGCGTAAGGCTAAGGCAGGGATGTTCAAACTCTGTCCTGGTGGGCCAGTGTCCTAGAGTTTAGCTCCAACCCTAATCAAACACACCTGAAGCAGCTAATCAGGCTACTAGAAACTTTCTGGCAGGTGTGTTGAAGCAAGTTGGAGCTAAGCTTAGCAGGACACTGGCTCATCAGGACCGAGTTTGGACATCCCTGGGCTAAAGGGGAGCTAGATACCCCTTCAATCAGAGATTTTTCAGGACCACTCTCGAAACTAAGGGGCTAAGAAAATTTCCCAGAATACACCAGCCACAACGGCAGCATAGCTGCTGCAACCGGAAGGAGATAAGGAAGTAAGGAATTTTTACAAAAAACAAGCATATGTTTTAATACATTCATAACCGTATTCATGTTTTACCATCATGCATGATTTCGCTATCTATAATCCACAATAGTAACTCCTGTATAGTAGTCCCACAACATTCAGTTACTCGATGACACTGGAATACCTTGTCAGAAAGGTCCAGTGGTCTTTTTACAGTGTCTGGTATAATGTTAATGTTGTTTTTTGTGTATTTACATAGATGAATATGGCCACAGTGTAAATATACAGTATAGTTACAAGCTTATTGCCACATTATATCAGTATGATAACATGATTTAAATACCAAAAAATAACACAACTTTAATAACTACAGCAGTTGCGATCGTCGATCTCATATGGAGTAAGAGATTGCGATGACATATGATGACATGTGAGGGTGTTGTAGTGCTGTCCCATTTCTTAGGGGTACATTTTGAAGCCCTTCCCCTTCACACTCTGTTTCAAGGGTATGGGTACAAAAATTTAATTGGTATTGGGCCTTAGTGTTTACCTAAATAAGGTGTACTAGCAAAATAAACATTGTCAATTTTGATTACAAACTGGCTTTCAAGAGCTGAACAACCCCCAGTGTGCTTCAAGGAAAATCAGACACCAAACAAGAGCCTTGAAGGCTCACTTTTAGTTTCTATAGCCTTCTTACAATGTTGCTACATACCATGACATACCTATTTTATATTGTTGGTATCGACAGTCGCTGTGTCAGATTATGCTTTTTGTCTAGATAAAATTTTGATGTGTCATGGGTACCAAATATGCCAGAATATTGACCTTAATCTTCAATGCGGAAGTGCCCTCGTTTTTGCGATTATTTTAAAACTTTCTATTCAGTTGACTATAGGAGAAATGGCTACGAATAATAAACGGCAGAAATGGTTAAACTGCTTTCTCTACAAACAAGTGTGTTTATAGCTATCCATGAAAAGTATAATAATGTAATAAGAAAATATCTGTTTGCAACATCAAGCAGCATACCAAGCTGTTTATAACGTCTAAAAATTAATGGAAGTGAATGAGAGCGGAAGTCTTGACCCAAAAAGATTTCAATGATTGCACCTGCAACTATTGTGTGTACGTAAAGAGAATAATATTGATACATTGCTTTGCGATCAATCATCAGGTGACATTTACAATGACAATTGCTGCATCCCACAGATGGCAGTTTTCCTCATATAGTATTTATGTGTGTTTTCTGAATGAATAATAGATTAATATAATATAGATAGATAATTCTGCAACCTTTCTAGCAATAGCTGTAAACAAAGCAGCTCTGCATTCACAAACACTAATGTTACCTAAACTAAAATGACAACAAAACGTTCAGTAGTCAGACGTTTACCTTAAAAGGTATATTCATATTAAATTTATGCATAATTTGTGTAGTTTGCAAAAAAATCCTGGTAAAATCAGAAACATATCATGTTCTTTAAATCTGAAAGAGGCTTTAAAAAGAGGTGTTGAATTCTGTCCAGCCTCTTACAGCTTGCTCCAACATATCTGCCTGGACATTCATACTGTAGCAATCCTGAAGATCTTGATAAGCTGGTTTAGGTGTGTTTGCTTAAGGTTGATGCTAAGCTCTACATAAGGGATGGGCAACTTTGGCCTTGGAGGGTCACTGTCCTTTTGACTTTAGCTGCAACCCTAATCAAATAAACATGCCTGTTGCTTTCTAGTGATCTTAGACGTTTATTAGCTTGTTAATATGTGTTTGATAAGAGTTGGAGTAAAACTCTGCAGGACAGCTGCCCTTGAGGACCAAAGTTGCCCATCCTTTCTCTATGAGAGCATTTTTAATTACTGTTCCTCCAGATCAGATTTGCTTGTGTCTGTGTCTGGTGCATCTTGATTGTCGTTAGGTCTGGCATTATAATAACTGAGATCTTACAATGTGACATAGGATTATGTTCAGAAAGTCTGAGAAGCAACAATTTTTAAAGGATTATTAAAAATTGAGCTGGGCTTAAGATATAAAGATACAAAAGCTGTTACTGGGGCAGTACTTTTACTAAAAGTTGTACTTTTTATATGCTGTTCCAATATGGATTCTTTAGGTGCAAACAGTTACAGTATGTTTCTAGAGAATTATTTGTGAAAATGAAAACATTATTTATGTAAGATGGAAGCAGAAGGGCCCTGGGACTTAAGATGCATTCAATCCATAAACTAATGGTCACAAAGTTAAAGATGTGTTACAGGGAACTCAAAGTTTGATGAAAATCTCCTCACAAATGTTGGTGTAGAGAATCCTGAGACAGATGTTCAAAAAACAATGACAAAACAGCTCCTAGAGCAGGGACGTGCAGACTTGGTCCTGGAGGGCCGGTGTCCTGCAAAGTTTAGTTCCAACCCTAATCAGACACACCTGGGATAGCTAATCAAGCTCTTACTAGGCATTCTAGAAACATCCTTGCAGGTGTGTTGAAGCAAGTTGGAGCTAAAATAAGGACACCGGCCCTCCAGAATCAAGTCTGGACACCCCTGTCGTAGAGAATCTGCTTCGAGATGCAGTAGTCACTGCTTTACAGATTGTAACTGAAACCAAATTAAACACTTAAATCTAAGATTTTTGGGATTACCATTATATCCCAAACTTGGTCCTGGAGGACCGGTGTCCTGCAGAGTTTAGCTCCAACTCCAATAAAACACACCTGAACCAGCTAATCAAGCTCTGGCTAGGTCAGGCTTGCCCAAACTCGCTCCTAGTGGGCCGGGTTCCTGCACATTTAAGTCCAACCCTAATTTAACATACCAGAACCAGCTTATCAAGCTCTTTCTAGGTATACTAAAACTTCCAGGCAGGTGTGTTAAAGGAAGTCGGAGACAAACTATGCAGGACACCGGCCCACCAGGACTGAGTTTGGACACCCCTGGTCTAAGTGTACTAGAAACTTCTAGGCAGGTATGTTAAAGGAAGCTGGAGCTAAACTATGCAGGACAGCGGCTGTCCATAACCTAGATAAACAAAGCAATTGTCGGAATGGAATAAAAGTACTAAAAATACAATATCCAGTATCACTTCTTTCTGGACCCTTTAGACTTAACCACAATACCTTCTACTGTCTTACATCTGATCATAATCAGTTACTGTATATGGCAATTATCTCTAATAACGTTGCTTTAGAGTCAGAGTTCACTCCTTAGGTGGACTTTGTCATTCGAGTGTTCATAGTATTTCCTACAAAGTTACTGATTTACCGAGAGTTTTCATATTGAAAAGGAGAAAAGCAGAGAAAGAAGCATCCTCACACAAAAGTTTTGCACATAAAAAGAAGCCTGCTTGGTGGTTTCCTGACACCCCACAGCATCATAAGTGGGGAGAAAGGGGGCCAGACCTCATAGGCATAAAAGGCTTGGTGGGACCCACAGTGAAATGATCACAAGGGGACATCCACCCCAAATCCCCCAGATTCTTAGCAATGCCACTAGAACCCAACATCATCAACTACTACATACTGGACTAAACACCAAACCCATTGAAGTAGAAGCAGCATCGACTCTGTCAGGTAGTGTTGTCATGATACTGGAATTTTGGTACCAATTGGTACTGAATTGTTAAAAAAAATGTATTTCCTGCTAAAAATTTTTTTTAAATAAGTAATAATTAGTTAATTTAATAATTAATTTTTTAATAGCAATAAGATAAGATAGTGGAGGACACACAGTATTGGGAGCAGAGAGAGGGGAAGAATCAAAATAAAACCTCGAGCCAGCAATTGAACTCATGTCGCCGTGAGCACTATGGTGTTATATGTCAACGCACTTAACCACTAGGCTACTTGCGCTTTATTTTGATGGTCCATTTGAGTAATAGTAGAGTGTCCACTTAATATCTGTTGATACAGTCATTCAACAGACATTAAACTGACTATAAGAAACTTTGCAAGTACATGTCAACATACACCAACCTTTACCCAATGCCTAACCCCAACCTAACAGTCTACTTATGATCTAATGAGAATTAGTTGGTAGGTAACTTAAATTTAACAAATAGACCATTAAAATAAAGTGTGACCACATTTTTTGCTAATATTTAGCCACAGGTATCAATCTCAGTTCCACAGGTCTGCACAGTTTAGTTCCAACCCCAATTAAACACACCTGATAAAACTAATTGAGTCCTTCAGGCCTGTTTGAAACCTACAGGTAAGTGTTTTGGACCACGGTTGCAAACTAACTAGTGGCCCTCTAGGAACTGAATTTGACATCACTGATTTAAACGTTTCAAAGCAGCATTGACTAGCTGGTCTGTTTATTAGCATGATACAGTATACGAGCGATTTGCTGATGGATTGACTGATCATCGTGGCTTTGAAATGCTCCCGTGGTATGTATCTGTGTTCACACTTGGTAAATGGTGGTGGCCTTCACGACCAATCATAGTCATTTCTGTTGAGCATGTAAACACAATTGACTCTCCAAAAGACTGATGAAAACGGTCTGTAGTGAGACTTTAAATTGTGAATTGTAGCTCTGATATGGACATAAGGCTTATAAATGACTAAAAAACTGCTGCGGGTGAAGTTTAGTGATCGCAAGTGCTCAGATTGTGATCACATCTTGGTTTTGTTCTGTTGATATGTAATTTTAAATATTGGTAGCTTGAAACAGATGGAAATATGATTGCTATTAGTATGACTACTATGGCGAGGGCTTAAATGGAGCAGTGCCCCTCACAGAGCTTGATCCACGCTGGCATTTCTCTAATTGGGTTTTAGGTTTTGGAAAGGGAAAACAATTTCACCACCCCGTCCAAACTTTTAGAAACTGGTGTCAGAATTGCACAATCCATATGCACCCCGATTTGATTAGTTGTCCCCGCTCGTAAGCTTGACAGGCCTCCTTCGCGTATTAGCTATGGTTGCTAAGCCAAGATTGGTGTGTGGCGGTTTTTCGGGTGTGGCTTCGCGAAGAGTCGATTGCCAATCAGGAGTGTTAAGGTGCCAATCAGGAGTGTTACTCAAATGTTATTTGGAAATTGGGGTTTTTAAAATTCCAGTACCAAAAGGTACTGAATTTCCAGTATCTTGACAACACATCAGTGTAGTAGTGTTATCTACTTTGTTTCATTCACTAGTCTCTAATGTCTTTACCTCTTCTCTGATCACTTTTTGATCAGCCTTATGCTTCAGCTCTCTTGCTGAGTCTCTCTTTGTCTTACGTCCTTTTTTCCTGCCTGTCTCTTCTTTGTCTTTGACCAAACAAGAATGTGCATAATTGAATTCAGCAGAAAGGAGAGGTCGTTCTTTGGCACACTACCCACAGTTTCATTAAGGTCACCTAAAAACTGCAAGCCGACAGGGTTCAGTCTCTCTGTGACTTTCCACAGACGATTCCTGCTAGCTAAACATTGAACCCAGTGGAGTCGAGTTAATGAGTTAAAAGCCCAATTATATTTCATATTAGCCCTGGATGTTACTGCGTTCATGACAATTGATTGGCTAAGCCAGCGAGTAATATGATTATGCAATATTATGCAGTGGTAAGATAATTGGAAGTTTATATGAGGACGTTCTGCTCTGATGTGGTATAAAGAGACGTCTCTGAGCTTAGCTAATATTTCACTGATGCTTATTTAATGCAGATTTATAATGGGGTATTAGAAAAGATAGACAGCTTAAGAGACATCAATGGAAATTAGAATGAGATTTATTTGAGATGAAAGGGAATTATTGCGTAGCTATTCAAATGGTTTAAAAGTTGATGCAATCCAGCTTGGACGACTTAATCCTCCTTAGTTTTTTCTTCTTCTCCCAGTTGAATTTTAGAAAGTGGTTTTGAGAACAGCCCTTCTGGTCCTAATAACCGACCTCTCGTCATTGTCTAACACATGTGTTATTAACATTTCCGTTGGGTGAAATCAGAAATAGGAATGATGAAAGAAATTTAGCGTAATATTTGGGCATGGATTACGCTAAGTGCTAATTAGCGCTAGCAGTAAAGCGATTCGGAATCGCCCTTTAGCTAGCTTTTGATTGTTTAGCTCGCAAACTAATTTGTTTTGAGACATAAATAGTTGTTTGTTTGTTTCGCCACAGGTAAGGTATTTATGGGAAACAAAAAAGAGATCGCAGAGAGCAGAATCCCGGAGCTTAACAGTTACATGAAGGTGAGTCAGTCTTGAAATTTGAAAGGCTTCAGTCGCATCAATGTCATGCTGTTTTGGTGGGAGTTGTGTTTGGTAATTGTTGCATTTTATTTGGGGGGTGTAATCTTTGCAATGCAAACACTGTTGAGTTACCAAGAAAAAAAAAATTTCCCTTTTATGGTACTTCTCTTTTTTCTGACCATCTGTCACACTTCTGATTTGATCGGAGGGTGTTTCAGTGTTCTGTGAAATCCATAGAAATCCCCACCAAAGTGTCATTTCCCACATACTGTAGCAATCTTATACATGGAAGTATATGCAAATTACACATATAAAATGAATGTCAACATGTCCAAATTTAATTTAAATAATATAAAAAATTAGCCCTTGAATCTGTTTGGCTTTTTTATTTTATTATTTTTATCATGATTATTATTTTAGTTTTTTAATTTGATTGGCTAATAGCAATATTCTGCAAATAACAGCACTCGTCCAGCCTTTTAACCCTTCACCCTTGTGTATTACTCCGCCCACATACAGTGACAAGCAGAGGACACTCTACAGTTTGACAAATATTGCAGCTCGTGACAAACTAACTGAACAGCCCTGCCCTAGAGGATAAAAACGGCATAATTATTAAACAGGTAAATGACATTCTAAGTTGATCTCTCTCTTTTGTATGTTGTAGTGCTGTATTTATACCATATAATTGTAGTTTATTGAGTGTGAGATGGGACTCGCATATGAGGAATGTATCTGAAATGATGACAAAACAGGTGATTTTGCTTACATTTTAAGATTATACAGCTGAATGGCATGAAATGCAATCTAGAGAGATTTCCTAGTATTTCTCTGTTGCAATCAAGAGATCACGATAACTAACCCAGAAAAAGCCAGAGCAAAGCAAATACCACCAGATTACTATGGTATAAATACAGCACTACAACATACAAAAGAGAGAGATCGACTTAGAATGTCATTTACCTGTTTTATAATGATATGACCAGCTGTAGTTTGAAACTTACGTTGAAAAATGCTGTTTTTCTCAATTAAGGACTTATTATGCGGCCTCTGCTGCCATCTTGTGGTGGATCAACAACTGTCTTTGCTCTGCTCAGTATGACCAGCTGATGGTCCCAAACGTGCTGAATCTTGGAAATCAGAATATTTAAAATATTCACTGTCCTGATGAACAAACTGCATAGCTGCAATCTAAACAACTACATTCTTGACTAAAAAAGCCTCAAAAGTACATTATGTTGTCCAACAGCTGCAATATTTGTTAATCTGTAGTCTTCTGCTTGCCACTCGTGTGAACGGAGTAATACACAAGAGTGAAGAGGCTGCACGAGTGCTGGTGTTACTTTAATATGCTAGTACTTTAAAATAACTTGGTTAACTAGGCAAGTTACGGTAATTAGGCTAATGATATTGACCTTAAAAAAACTGCTTTTATTCTAGCCAAAATAAAACATATAGACTTTCTCAAGAAAAAGAAAAATTGTCGTAAATATTTTCATTTTTAAATATTTCATTTTTTTTCTATCTCCTTTAGCGGTTGCTTTGTCTGCCTACTTGGGTGCTCTTGGATGATCTGATACGAATGTTTTTCTACCAGACTGAGTCCGACAGCCAACAAGTCCCCCGGGCCCTGCGCCGCCTGCGGCCCCCCACACGCAAAGTGTAGGAGCCTTCCCACAATCCCTTACTTCTCCTTCCAACACCACTGCATACTTTACTGGATTCTGCTGTGCTACTCTCTTTTTACTGCCAGCTCTGTGGAGTTATCATTTACTGTACACCTAGTGATACTACTAAGCAGTGTTTTTTCCACAAAACACCACTTACTCTCTGCCTACTGACATGTGATTATGAAATTCGATAATATTAACACACATTAATACTTAAGGCCTGTACCATGAAGTCAGATTAGCCAGTTCAGTTTCAGGTAAGTTCACTCAAAAATATTTTTGCTGTTTGTTCAAATCACTTATTTGAAAAAACACGATTCTTGAGGGTTTTTTGGGACAACTTAATTGTTTTATGTTCGATCAACATAACATTGTAAAAACATTCAGTTACCTTAATTAATTTGCGAAGTGATGACATGAGATTGTGTGGGACCCAGCATTTTTACAGTGTTTGCACCAATTCTGGGTTTTAGGTACAGTACCATGAGCGTAGCCAACATAGACTCATTCTGAAAACGTAGCCCTATATACTTCACGAATCACGAATTATGTATGGCTGCATTTCGCCTTTAAAACGAACATTATGGGGCGGTATGACTCTTTTCGCTCTACCAACTGACCATGAACCTCCGTATGGATGGCTTTTCCACTGTTAGCAGTTTGTCCAGTAGCTTGCCACGTATTTCGGTGGACTTAAGACGGAGAGAGAAGTTGACCACGATGACAAGGTTCAGGTTCGTCAAAGAAAGGTTCCAAAAATCGGGTAAGACAAAAACAGAATCCAAAAAATAAAATGGACAAGTAAATAACAGAGTGAGAATGTGGTAAAATCTGAAAACATGGTAAAAATCTAGGGGCTTTTCTTTTTCTAGCTTACTTTTCAAAACACTATTGGTTGTGTTTAGGGAGATGGGTGGTCCCTGGTTATATGGTGTTTCTTAAAACACTATCGATTGGGTTTAGGAAAGGGGGTGAGTGAGTGAATCAGACGGTTGGTCATTGGTCAGTCAGTCGACAACGGCCTCTGGTGGATTTGCAGAAACAAAAACTGCAAACAAACGTACCTCCCAGGGCGTATTTGGCGCTCTCCAAAAAAGTATGCAGAGATACGTTTTCAGAATGAGCCTGGGTTGAAGGTAGCTCAGCTCAGATGCTTCATAATGTCATGGCAACAAAGACTGATTAAAGTCGAGCTGCATTCAAGATACCTAAAACCCCAGATTGGTGCAAACTAAACTGAAACATAACTGTCTAGCCAGCAAATCCAGATTCAAGGTACAGGTTCAAGGTGGAAACCAAACCTACAGTAATAGTTATGTTGCTATACAGTAGTTTACTTGTGGGTTATTTCTCGCCTCACGCAAAATTAAATTGTTGTACTGTATGTATTAAATAATACATATTTAATGTCGCAGCCTCTTGCGATTAGCCAATCGCAATGCGATTGCGATTCAATTAAATGCACAGCTGTAATATATGCAGTATAACACACTTTACTATATAATGGTTGAATATTTAACATTTTCTTAACTTTAAACTATGGCAAATATAGTTAAAAACCAAATGATAAGTTCTAAGTTGTTTTGAAAGAAATATCAAAGACAAAATTGGTATTTAAAGCAATCTCTTAACCATGAAAGCGGAACTTCTGACCATAGAAATTCAGCTGTTGGTTTTATCAGCCTTCTACTTTTTCAAAAACGGAGACAAAATGTAGAAGCCGCTTCTTCTGTTGTTCATCTGAAGTTCACAATGCTCTCTCTTTTCTCTTACTAGAAAAACTGTGAAGCCCAAAACAGACCTTCTCTCCGCGCCCAGAGCAGAGGTACATCAGCGTTTCCTTGGAAACACTTTCAGTAACAGCCTACACTCCGCATACTACACATACTTACATACTCGTGTGCAGGCACCACACGAAGCGCTGACATTTGGTCAGGAGGTTAGAGTATTACACAACACACACACGCTAACTTTTGTTGCAAAACTCTCACATGTTGTCAGAGGATTATGACAGAGCTCTTGTTTATGGGATTGGTAATGCTCCCTAATTGCTCCTATCTACTGTATGATGATTTGTGAAGTCTTTTTATAGAAAATATTGATAATTATTAGCAATATTGTGTATTTACGGGTGTCATTTGGTTTGGTATGCATGGATGTCCAGCAGCATTGGTATGCATGGATATCCAACAAATACAGTGTTGTTTTAAGCACCGCATGCATGTTTGGAAATTAATTTGAGATATTATTATAGTATATAATAATGTACTATTATATTATTACTGATATTACTATTATTATTACTAGCTAGTATTACATATCTGCATTTTAATGAAACAATATTGATTCTTAAAAGGCAAGATCAATCTTTTTTTCCAGGGGTTCCCAGTTTTTTAGATTAGTTCGATCTTGGGATTTAAAAGGCTGTATCGATTTGTTATCGATTTAAGTTTTTTTTTTTTTTTTTACAAAAATGTGTTAATTAAGCCGTCATCTCATGTTCAGTCAGCCACAGTGCTCCAAATACCAATTAACCTACCTAAATTGTTGCTAGGTGTTGGTTCCTTCAGAAAACTTTAATTGATATTTGAGGCTTTCTGGCTTAAAAAAGACCCTAAAAATATCACCCTAAAATGTACCCTAAAAATATCAAAACAGATCATTTAACTTACTTTAACAGTTTAATTTGAGAACAATTCTGTATTCACAAACCCAGCGTGAAGGATTTTTTCATAAATCACAGCGATCTAGCTCACAGGTTCAGCTGATTATCTTTATTATTAATATAGTATAAAATCAAAAATCATAGTATTTTGGTGCGCTTACAGTACATTTGTGTCCTTTTGAAGCTTGAAAATCCTATATATTGCAGATATCTACTTTAAAGTTCTTCAGAAGGAAGTCAGTCACTACATAATTGAGACAGCATTAGTGACATTTAAATTTTACATTTTGGGTAAACGGGGTGGGATGGTGGCTCACTGGTTAGCATTGTCGCGTCACAGCAAGAAAGACGCTGGTTCAAGTCCTGGCTGCGTCAGTTGGCATTTCTGTGTTGAGTTTGCATTTTCTCCCCGTGTTGGAGTGGGTTTCTTTCAGATGCTCCAGTTTCCCCACAATCCAAAGACATGCGCTATTGGTGAATTAAATAAGTTAAATTGGCCTAGTGTATGTGTGTGTGTAAATGAGAGTTTGTATGGGTGTTTCCCAGTACTAGGTTGTGGCTGGAAGGGCATCCGCTGCGTAAATCATATGCCAGAAAAGTTGGTGGTTCATTCCACTGTGGCGACCTCTGATAAATCAGACTAAGCTGAAGGAAAATAAATGAATGATGGGACCATCCTTTTAAACAGATACCAAAAAAGATTGCTATGAATAAAGAAATTGGAACAGGGCGGAAACCATTAATGGGGCAAAAATCTGACCCAGAAACAGCGACACACATGCACACAAATCTCTATCAGTGTCTCTATGAGAGTAATGTTACAGAGACGGAATCTGTCACAAGATGAGCAATCAAAACCACTCAGCTTCAGTGTCATAGTGTCAGGAAAGCAGATTTTGACACTTCCTCCAGAAACTGTGTGGTGTTTGCCGATATGCAGGGGAGTTTTGGGTGGTTGCCAAGGCTTGCTGTGTGGTTGCCAGGGTGTTCGGAGTGATTTGAGTGGACTGCCGTGCAGTTGCTAAGGTCTTCTGGGTAGTTGCTAAGGTGTTGTGGGTGGTTGGTTGCTGGCCCAAGTCAAAAGATCTCACCATCGAGTGTCTTTCTACTCTCGAAATACGGCTCAGGTCTTTTCGTCAATCGTAATTATTAGTTTGAAGTTGTGTAGAAAAGTAATGGTTAGGGCAATTTGCGTACAATGAGATATAATTAGGGCCTGGGCACCCTCTTGGAATTCCCCTTCATATTGTTTTCCTTCATGGATAGCTATAGACTTTCAACAAAGTTCACCCAAGTTATATTTCAAGTAAATAAAATCTGTATACACAAGGGGTGTGCATGGACAAAATAATCATATTGCAATTTTTCTTTGGAACAAATTTTGCAATTGCTATATTATTGCTAATTATTATTATTTTGGCAACTGTTTTTGCTTTTTTAAACAAGCTACATACATACATTCTATACAGTATGTACTCAGTGCTTCTTTTAAACCTTCAGATATATTTTTCTCCACTGTGATCTTCTTGGAAGAATGCTGTTTGAAAACATTGACTTTTCATTTCAAAGTAGTCATCAATAAAGTGAACCGTTAAACTCATGTACAGCTCCATCGTTCTGCCGGACCACAATCTGTATCTGTGGTCATGGCGAAGTATTTCAGCTGCTTGAGCTTGTGTTCAACGCCCGCCTTAACATTTCTTGTACATTTCAGGAATAGCAAATTGTGTGAAATGAGTGTGAGATAGCAGCTGGTATCTTTTGTCATGTGTTAGTATTAGTCTTTGGGAGCCATCTTTACAGACGATGTGCGCAGGCGTCATATCTTTGCATGTTTGATTGCGTCTGTAATGTCTTTGTGTGGTTTTGATTTTATAAAACACAGTGTTTGCAAATGCTTGAACAGTGGAAAGTTGTTCAGTCTGTTCTGGCTGGCTTTTGTTTGTTTCGATTGACTTTGCGGACATGCATTGATCGTATATTGTTCCGTCTTGTTGGAATAGTAATTTCACAAGTCTTTAAATTACCTTGCTCTGACACATCCTCTCCTGAATCCAAAATACTCCCAAACGACTGACGTTGGATTTTTCTTCGGCACTAAACCATTTTTATTTTGACCTGCATCAATATTTTATGTTCTTTCCTCCCGCTCGCCTATTCGGTTCTCCTGCTCAACTTCATTGTGCGAGGAGTGAGCTGGTTAACATCCTTGTCCTGCTTAGCTGTAATTGCCCGTTGAGTTTGGTCAGCTCTGATGGGTTAACATATTAAAATCATGCGCAAAAGAACGTATTATGGATAAAAAATCGAAATAAATTAATAAATAAAATTGCAGGCTTATGCGGTTTAGAAATCGCATGTGCTTAAATCGCTATTTTTTGTGATTGCGAATAATTGCACAGTATGGAAGTTTTTTTCCTAACAAAATAACTGGTATTGCGGAGTCGGTTTAAGGATTTTGTTCACCATTTTGTGATGTCAGCTTCAGGATTTGATTCACCATTTGCGGAGTCGTTTGAGCATTTAATTCACCACTTGCAGAGTCAGTTTGAGGATTTGATTCATTATAATCAAAAAACCATACAGGACAACTTTTATTGAATGTTTTCTCTTAACTCTCTTTCTTCCACCTTCCCCTCAGCCTTTCCTCTTACTCCTTGTCTTAATATATTCTCTGCTTTTTTTCCACTTTATCCCTCCATTTCTCCTTTAATCTCTTTTATAAGTTCACCTATCAGTCTCGCTTCCTTCTTTCGCTTTCTCACTCCATCCCTTAAGGCATCTGTTCCTCTTTGTCCTGTGGAGTACTTGCACTCCCTCATTCCAAATTTCGGTCTCTGTGTCTCCAAGTGCTTTAAAACCAGATCACTGTTTTATCATTCTGCTCGCACCAGAGCAGCGACCACAAAGAAACCACATAAAATGTGATTTATATCCTACGCCCATTTGTAAGTAAGGGCAGAAAGGTGAACGAAAGCCAATGTGTGTGTGAGAGTTGCAGTTTAATGGGCAGTAATTTAAAATAAGCTGAATTAAATTACATCAAGCCTGCAAAGTGATACTATTGTAAATAAATCAGAAATATTCAACAATACTTTTAATATGAGTGTGTATGGGGGTTTTGCAGTACTGGGTTGTGGCTGGAAAGGCAAAAAAATATGCCAGAATTGTTGGTGGTTCATTCCACTGTGGCAACCTCTGAAATAGAAACTATAAGCTCAAGGAAAACTAATGAATGTGATAATTTATTGGATAAAGGACAGAGTCTCTGGAAGTTTTTTGAAGTGCAAGTGGTTGAAAAGCATTAAGTATTAATCATTTCTGTGTAAACTATTTTCTCCATATTATTTAAAGTTAGGTTGTTAAACAGTCACATAAGATCAAGTTGTTACATTTCTGAATCTCACTATAGGATTTAATAAAATATGACCTTCATCAGGTTAGGAAATTTTGACTATCATCACCCAAATTATAACATGTCATTTTTTCTAATGAGATCATGCTGATTGTGTCAGGGTTATGTTTCCGCTGTGTTTAGTTTCTGTGTATTTTGTTCTGTCTCTTTACTTATTGACTAGTTAGTTTCTATAGCCGCTAATTAGTTCACACCTCTTCTGTTTTTCCAGGATAAGTTCCTCGGCACTTTTTTCTTTAGTTTCTTGTCCAGTAATTATTATTAGTATGTCATGTTTACTCCAGTATATTTCCTTTCGGATTTATTGTTAAAATATGTTTTATTGTACTCCTTTGTAATGCACTTATATTATATACAGAGGAGCTCATTATGGACTGATATCAGTTGATCAATTGTTCAAACTTGCTTAGGAAGTAGCTCAGTTTTCACATGAAATCAGGTTGAATGGTTTTGTTAAGCCTACACTGTAAAAAAACAACAACAACTTAATTTTACAGAAAAAAACTCTGAATTTTTTACAGTAATTTTTTGTCATTTCACATTATATTCAAAACTTAGTAAAATGACAACCAATCTCTCTAAATTAACCATTTGACTTTCATTTTAGGTACTTTATTATTAAAGACAAGTTACCGACATTTTTGTTTTTTATACAGGGAAATTACAGTATTATTTATACAGTATTTTTTCTGTTATTTTAAATTATATTCAAAAGTTCGTAAAAATTACAAACATTATCTGTAAA